CCCCCAAACCTTGAGCTGCTGCCCCCACCTCCCACCCCCTCCGCGTTCTGAAGGAGCTCAGCTGGTGGAGAATAATGAATTGTTGGGCTGTGGGGCAGCGGTGGTGCCAGGGAAGGGCCCTGCTCTATATTGGGGGCTTTGGGAGCCCCGAGCCAGGCTTGGCGGAGGGTGGGGGGGCACAGGGGGTGTGTGTGGATGTGGGAGGGACGTGAGGTGCAGGATGGGTGTGCAGCGTGTGTGGGGGGTGTGCATGGGATGGGATGGGATGGAATGGGTGCACAGTGTGGGAGGGATGCAAGGTGTAGGGGGGATGCAGGGTGCAGGAGTGCATGGGATGGGATGGATGGACAGTGCAAGAGGAATGCAGGGTGCAGGAGGGATGCAGGGTGAAGGAGGAGAGCAGGGTGCTGGAGGAGTGTAAGGTGCAGAAGGGATGCATAGTGTGGGATGGATGCATGGGATGGGATGGGATGGGATGGGATGGGATGGGATGGGATGGGATGGGATGGGATGGGATGGGATGGTTGCACAGTGTGGGAGGTATGCTGCAGGAGTGAGGGTGCAGGAGGGATGAAAGGTGCAGGAGGTAAATGCATGGTACAGGAGTGCATGGTACAGGAAGGGTGCACAGTGCAGAAGGAATGCAAGGTGTAGGAGAGGTGCAAGGTGTAGGAGTACATGGTGCAGGAGGGGTGCATGGGGGGATGCATGGTGCAGAAGGGGTGCATGGAAGGATGCATGGTGCAGGAGGGTTGCATGGGGGTATGCATGGTGCAGGAGGGGTGCACAGTGCACAGTGCAGCTGTTTGGGGCACAGCTGATGAGCTGCAGCTTCCCACACCTCTGCTCTCTCTCCGCAGCCTCTCTGTGCTCATGGCCACCTGGCCAAGACATTGGGCTACCTGGAGTTGGGACCAGGGGGGCTGCTCAAGCACAGCCCCTATGGCGCCCTGAAGCCCCCCCCGGTGCTGCTGCCTGCAGAGCCCCCCCGCAGCCCCTGGGATTGGCAGCAAAATGGGACGGGCAGCGACCCGCCCAGCATCGCCCGCCGCAAACCCCCCCTGAAATCCTCCCGTTCCAAAAAGATCTTTGGTTGGGGGGACTTCTACGTCAGCATCCAAACCCTGAAATTCAGCCTTCTGTTGACGGGTAAAATCGTGGACCACGTCAATGGTACCTTCAGTGTCTACTTTCGTCACAACTCCTCTAGTCTCGGCAACGTGTCAGTCAGCATCGTCCCCCCCAGCAGGGCGGTGGGTTTCGAGATGCTGCTGCCGGCCCAACTCCCTCCTCCACCTTTACGCCCAGCTCCAGCCCAGCAAAGCACCCTTCCCGAGGGGCGATCCAAAGCTCTCAATTGCCACGTGGAATACGAGAAAACGGACCGTGCGAGGCGGAACCGTCCCTGCCTGTACGACCCCAGCAAGGTTTGCTTCACCGAGCACACGCAGAGCCGCGCCGCATGGCTGTGTGCCAAACCCTTCAAGGTCATCTGCATCTTTGTCTCCTTCCTCAGCATCGACTACAAGCTGGTGCAGAAGGTCTGCCCCGACTACAACTTCCAGCACGAGCATCCCTACTTTGGCTGAGATGGGGAGAGGGGAGGGGGGGGGGGATGTCCATGTGGTGCTCTGTGCAGTGTGGGGGTCAGGGTCCCCATGGGGCTCAGTGCCATGTGGAAGGGTCCTCATGGGGCTCTGTCCATGGTGGGGTTCCCATGGGGCTCAATGCAATGCAGGGGGGTCCTCATGGGGGTGAATGCCAAGGGGGAGGGGGTCCCCATGGGCTCTGTGCCATGGTGGGGTGGAGGTCCCCACGGGGCTCTGTATCATGTGGAGGGGGTCCCCACTGGGTTCAGTGCTGTGGGGGGATCCTCATGTGGCTCAGTGTAATGTGAGGGTCAGGGTCCTCATGGGGCTCCATACCATGGTGGTGTGGAGGTCCTATGGGGTTCTATGCATTGTGGAATGGCCCTCATGGGGCTCTGTGTAATGCAGGGGGGTCTCCATGGGGTTCTGTGTAACGTGGGGGGGTCCCCACTGGGCTCAGTGCATTGTGGAAGGGTCCTCATGAGGCTCTGTGCAATGTGAGGGCCAGGGTCCTCATGGGGCTCTGTGCCATGGTGGGGTGGAGGTCCCCATGGGGCTCAATGCTGGGGAGGGGGGGGAGGGGACAAACGTCATGGGGCTCAGTGCACTGTGGGGGGATCCTCATGGGGTTTCGTGCCACGTGAGGTTCTCATTGGAGCTCTGTGCCATGGGGAGTCAGGGTCCTAGTGGGGCCCAGTGCAAAGTGGGGGGGTCCTCATGGGGCTCAGTGCCATGGTGGGTGGGGGGTCTTCATGCTGCCCTGAGGAGCTTCACCCCATGAACAGAGACCCCCCCCCCAGTGCTGTGAGCCCCCTGCCCACCTCGCAGCCCCTCTCCTCCCCATCGTGTTAGAGCCGGGGCTGACTGGGGAGGGGGGGGGCACTGAACAGGGGACGCTCCCGTATTACTATGATGATGATTATGATGTTGATTATTATTTTTAATAAAGAAAATGAAAACGAAAGAAAGAAAGAAAGAAAGTAAGAAAGAAAGAAAGAAAGAAAAAGAAAGGAAAAAAAAAAAAAAAAAAAAAGAAGTGAAGAATAAAAACCGAAAGAGCGGAAAAAGCGGGGCGGAGCGGAGAGGGGCGGACCACAACCACCGACCCGGCCCCCCCGGCCCCCCCGGCCCTTTCCCGGCTGCCCCGCAGCTCCGCCCCGGCCGTGTTGGTGGGGGCGGGGCGCGCACCGGGAGCCTCGCCGCGATGTGGCCGCTGCGGGTGGGCACGGTGAGGTGGGATGGG